GGAGTCTGCTTCTCCCTCTGACCCTCTCCCCTCTCATGCTCTCTCTCTCTCACTCTCTCCCTCAAATAATAAAAAAATAAAATCTTAAAAAAAAAGAAAATGATAGTTATCAAATCAATACTATGTTGTTGTATCATTAGATAAAGGCAGCTCTTTAAAAATTTAAATAACAGGCTTTATTTGCATACACTCCAGTGTAATATGCCATGTAAGGAAATATTTCCTGTCATTATTATTGGTAAACCTCATAAGGATAATTTTTTATCAATTTGCAGCTCAGTTATCACTCTAAGAAAAGTTGGAATAATCTCCATATCCTACAGGGAAATCCAATTTATATGAAGTTATGTATCCATAAAGAACAGCTGGACTGTGATCCAAATGACTGTAATGAAGCTGATGATATTTAACAATAAAGTTTTCTGTAATTAAATTGAAGTGAGCTCCAAAAATTCTACCTAGGAAAAAAGTTCTCAGCTGCCCTCAAATCTAATGGCAGGATTTCCTCTGGAGAGAGAATTTTCTCTGCTAATGCTTTGGGGTTGATTAATCTGGGTTTGTGCATGACCTGGTGGCTCTATTAGTTAGATGTACCTTTCTGGGTCCAAATATCAGAAATCAGCTCATGCTAACTTAAGCTAAAATGAGAAATATGGGAATGCAGAGGTGCCTTGTCAGTGGGATCTTGGGGAGGTCCTGACACAGGGACCTGGAAAGCTAGGTAGCCGCTCCGGCCAGGAGTCAGCACTGCTTCTCTGCACACCCTGGCTCCTTCTCTTTGCTGGTGCCCTGGCCTCTCCTGGGTCTCTGCTGCGGGAAGGGCTTGCCCCACAACCCAGCCTCACTTACCTTTTACAGGTCTAGCTCTCTGGAGAAGGAAAGTCAGTTGATCTTTTGCCCTCTCTCTCCCAATTCCAAGTGTAGAGAAAAAGGAACTCTGGCCTGGATCAGATGACTGCCCCTTCCTTCCTCAACCAACTGTGGCCTGGAGGCCAGAGCACATCCCACAAGATGGCTGCCCGGGAGGCTCAGCCGCTGGAGTGGTCACTGTGAGTCCGGAAAATGCTCTGACGTGTTCCCTCTGAGTATGAAGCTTGAGAGAGAGGCGAGTCCTACAGAAAGTCAAACGCCATTAGATTATAGGTGTTGATTATAAACTTGGGAATCGATGAGATGGTGTAGTTAATTTTTCATTGTGCGGAGTAAGGAGGGAAGGACATGCACAGAATCCTGAGGAATCTGACTTGAGGGCTGAGCAAAGGAAAGGGAACCATTTCTCCCAAAATAAACCTGACTTGTCAGTGAAGAGAACTCCAGGAATGTGTCAAGAGCTGCCAAAGGCATTTGCTTTTCATTTCTGGAATTTATCAAGTTCACTGCTTGTTTCTCTCAAGGGATTTTCTAGATCCTTTGCCTGCTTCTCTTTCCACCTGCTTTCTGTGCTGGCATTTCTCCACACAAGGATGACTCCAGGTTTGAATGGGACCCTGAAGCTCACACAATAGTGGAGTCCATTTTAAGAAAAAGAATACAAAATTATAAATACAAAATAAGGTACAAAAATATTTATTTGGAATGAAGAGAGAAATGACAATAATTACACATTTTTAAAAGCTGACAAATACTTCAACATCACAAAAATCTAGAAAGTCACATAATTTTAAAAAAAATTAACTCCTTTTCCCCTAAATTTTTGAATTCATAGTTTTTTTTTTTTTAAAGATTTTATTTTATTTATTTGACAGAGAGAGAGAGAGACAGCTAGAGAGGGAACACAAGTAGGGGGAGTGGGAGAGGGAGAAGCAGGCTTCCCGCTGAGCAGGGAGCCCGATGCGGGGCTCG